ATTTGAAATTTACTGTCAGCAATTTTGAAATGTATAATACTCTGTTATTAACTATATTCACCATGCTGTGCAATAGATCAAAGAAAAACATTTCCACTGTCTTTACGACATTTTGTACGCTGTGACCAGCATCTCCCTGTTCCCTCCACACCCAGGCTCTGCAACCCCCATTCTACTCTCTGCTTCTAGAGGTAGATTCCTTCAGATTCCAGATATAAGTGAGAACATGTTGAACTTGTCCTTCAATTCTATGCACATTGTCACAAATGACAGAATTTCCGTCCTTTTCAAGGCTGACTTGTATTCTGTTGTGTTTATATAGCAGATCTGCTGTATCCACTCATTAGCTCATGAACATTTAGGTTGATTCCGTAACTTGGCCATTCTGAACAGCGTTGCAAGGAACATGGGAGTGCTCGCATCCCTTTGACACAGTGGTTTTCAGTCTTTTGGGTAAATACCCAGAAGCGGGATTGCTGGATCATACAATAATTGTATTTTAACTTCTTTGAAAAGCCTCCATAATGTTTTCCACAATGGCTGTACTAATTTACATTCCCACAATGTACCACATTCTCACCGACACTTGTTTTATTTTGTCTTTTTCATAATAGCTATTCTTGCAGATGTGAGATCTCATTGTGCTTCTAATTTGCATTTCCCTAATGATTAGCAATGTTGAGCATTTTTTCGTTCAATCATACCTTAAAGGTATTATCGGTTCGGTTCCAGATCACCACAATAAAGCGAATATCACATTACATTGGCTCACACAGATTTTTTGGGTTTTTAGTACATATAAAAGTTACGTTCACACTATAGCACAGTCTATTAAGTGTGCAGTACCATTATGTCTAAAAAACAATGTGCATACCTTAGTTAAAAAATACTTTATTGCTAATGATAAATAAAAAATGCTAATGACCACTTGAGCTTTCAGCAAGTCATAATCTTTTTGCTGGTGGAGGGTCTGGCCTCAGCGGTGATGGCTGCTGACTGATCAGGGTGCTGGCGGCTGGGGGTTGGGGTGGCCGTGGCAATTTTTCATAATAAAATGACAATGGAGTTTTCCGCATAGATCGTCTCTTCCTTTCATGGAACATGTCTCTGTAGCGTGTGATGCTGTTTCATAGCGTTTTGCCCACAGTAGAACTTCTTTCAAAATTGGAGTCAGTTCTCTCAAACCCTGTCATTGCCTTATTAACTAGGTTTATGTGATACGTAAGTCCTTCATGGTCACTTCAACAATGTTCACAGCATCTTCACCAGGAGCAGATTCCATCTCAAGAAGCCACTTTCTTTGCTCGTCCGTAAGAAGCAATTTCTCATCTGTTAAAGTTTTGTCATGAGATTGCAGCAACTCAGTCCCATCTTCAGGATCCACTTCTAATGCTCTTGCTGTTTTCACCCCATTTGCAGTTACTCCCTTTACTGAAGTCTTGAACCCCTCAAAGTTATCCATAAGGGTTGGAATCAGCATCTTTCAAAATCCTGTCGATGTTGATGTTTTGACCTCCTCCCATGAATCACGAATGTTCTTAGTGGCATCTAGAATGCTGAATCCTTTCCAGAAGGTTTTCATTCTACTTTGCCCAGATCCATCAGAGGAATCACTACCTACTGCAGCTGTAGCCTTATGTGTTTCATAAATCTTGAAAATCAAAGTTACTGCTTGATCTGTGGGCTGCAGAATGGATGTTGTGTTAGCAGGAATGAAAACAACATTCATGTCCTCGGACATCTCTGTCAGAGCTCTTGGGTGACCGGGTGCATTGTCAATGAGCAGTGACATTTTGAAAGGAATCTTTTTTTCTGAGCACCAGGTCTCAACAGTGGGCTTAAAATGTTCGGCAAACCATGCTGTAAACAAGCATGGAGGTTGTGTTAGCAGGGATGAAAACAGCATTCTCGTCCTCGGACATATCTGTCAGAGCTGTTGGGTGTCCGGGTGCATTGTCAATGAGCAGTGACATTTTGAAAGGAATCTTTTTTTCTGAGCACCAGGTTTCAACAGTGGGCTTAAAATGTTTGGCAAACCATGCCGTAAACAGATATGCTGTCATGCAGGCTTGTTTTCCGTTTGTAAGTGTGCTGACAGAGCACAGGCAGAGTAGACTTAGCATCGATCTTAAGGGCCTAGGATTTGGGGAATGCTAAGTGAGCATTGGCTTTAACTTAAAGTCACCAGCTGCGTTAGCACCTGGCAAGAGTCAGCCTGTCCTCTGAAGCTTTGGAGACAGGCATTGACTGCTCCTGTCTAGCTGTAAAAGTCCTAGATGGCATCTTTTTTCAATATAAAACGGTGTCATTCACATTGCAGCTCTGTTGCTGAGTGTAGCCCCGTCACACGCGAGCCGCTGTCTCAGCTGGATCCGCTGCATCACTGGCTGCAGCCCCGCATCAGCACCTGCTGCTGCACCTTGCGCTCTGCTGGGACGGAGCCGGCTGCTTTTCTTAAACCTCATGAACCCTCCTCCGCTAGCTTCAGACTTTTCTTCCGCAGCTTCCCCAGCCCGCTCAGCCTTCACACAAGTGAAGAGTTAGGGCCTTGCTCTGAGTTGGGCTTTGGCTTAAGGGAATGTTGTGGCTGGTTTGATCTTCTCTCCAGATCACTACAGCTTTCTCCATCTCAGCCATGGGCTGTCTGCTTTCTCATCACTCGTGTGTCCACTGCAGCAGCCCTTTCATTTCCCTCAAGAGCTTCTCCTGCATTCACAACTGGGCGGCCTGCTGGGTGCAGGCCCGAGCTTCCGGCCCACCTTGGCTTTCGAGACGCCTTCCTCACTGGGCTTGTGCAGCTCTGGCTTTGATTGCAAGTGAGAGACGTGCGACTCTTCCTTTCTCTTGAACACACAGAGGCCGCGGTAGGGCTACTAATTGGCCTTATTTTAATATTGTTGTGTCTCGGGGAATAGGGAGGCCTGAGGAGAGGGACAGCGATGGGGGACGGCTGATCAGGGGAGCAGTCAGAACACACGACACGTTTATCGATGCAGTTCCCCGTCATATGGATGCAATTCATGTTACTGTTGCAATCTAGAACGATTGCAGCAGCAACATCAAAGATCACGGATCACAGATCACCACAACAGACGTAATAGTGATGGGGAAAGTTTGAAATTTTGCAAAAATTGCCAAAATGTGATAGAGAGACACGGAGTGAGCACATGCTGTTGGATGAATGGCGTCGATAGACTTGCTCGGTGCAGGGTTGCTACAGACCTTCAATTTGTAAAAAACACAGCATCTGTGAAGCAGGAGAAAGGGAAGCGTGAAGACGCGAGGGGCTGCCCACCCGCTGCCCGGGTCCCTCGCCCGTTTTTAATTGGATGTTTTTGTTTTCTTGCTATTGAGTTGTTTGACCTCCTTATATAGTTTGGATGTGAACCCCTTCCTGGAAGCGTGGCTTGCAGATTTTTTTCCCAATTTGTAGGCTGTCTCGGCACACTACTGTTTCCTTTGCTGCAGAGAGGCTCTTTAGTTTGATGTAATCCCATTTGTCTATTTTTTGTTTTGTCGCCTGTGCTTTTGGGGTTAAATCCAAAACATCAAAGCCATGTAGTTTCTCCCCATGTTTACTTCTGGTAGTTTATGGTTTCCAGTTTTACATTTGTCTTTAATCCATTTTGAATTGACTTTTGTATGGTGTGAGACAAGGGTGCAGGTTTATTCTTCTGTCCAGGATATCCAGTTTTCTCAACAGCATTTATTTAAGAGACTGTCCATATTCTTGGCTCCTTTGTCAGAAATCAAATGATCATACATGTGTGAGTTTGTGTTTGGGCTCTCTAGTCCGGTCAATGTACCTATTGTTTTTTGCCAGTACCATGCTGTTTTAATGACTCTAGCTTCTGACTGGATAATTTTAAATGTTCTATCTTCCAGTTCACTGATTCTTTCTTCTGCTTGATTAAAGCTGCTGTGAAATCTTTCTATTGGATTTTTCAGTTCAGTCATTGTATCCTTCATCTCTAGGGTTTCTATTGGGTTCTTTGTTATTATTTCTTTTTTTTTTTTTTTTTTTTTTTTTTTTTTTTTTTTCCGGGTCCCGCAACGGATTGCAACCCTCCGTGTTGCCCCCG